TTTGCTGACCACCCCTTGGCTCTCCAGCTCCCGAATCATTTTGTGGATGGGGATCACGGCATCTCGATCCGTCCGATACTGCCGGCGGTGCACTGTCGAGGTCGCAATTGGCACGCGTTGCTCTTCCACCCTTGGAGTCCTACTGCAGAGGGGATTTCTGACAGTCCAGGCAAGGTGTGCAATTGCTTAATGTCTTCTGCCTCTACAGCGTCTATTCCAAAAGCCCACCTGAGTCCCTTTGGGTCTTTGTAATATCCGTTCCGGAGGAAGTCTATGCCTAGGATACACGGAGCATCTGGGCCAGTCACTATAGGATGTTTCTTCCACTCCTTCCCAGTCAGGCTCACCTCGGCTTCCAGCAGGGTCAATTGCTGTGATCCCCCTGTCACACCAGCAATGGAAACAGGCTCTGCCCCCACATGTCCCGATGGTATCAGAGTACACTGTGCACCACTATCAACTAAAGCATCATATTTTTGTGGCTCTGATGTGCCAGGCCATCGGATCCACACTGTCCAGAAGATCTGGTTTTCCCGTGCCTCTCCCTGGCTAGAGACAGGGCCCTTCTAACACTGGTTATTATTCCTTTCCTGGGCATACATATTAGAGGTCCCTTCAAGGGGGTCTGACAGATCGTACCTACAAGTTTGGTCACGGGAGGTTGAGGCTACCTTCACTTTGGTGGAACTCTCCTGGTTAGAGTTTCCCTCCTTAAGTTGGCGGACCCGTGCTGCCAGGACAGAAGTGGGTTTCCTATCCCACCTCCCCATGTCTTCCCCATGGTCACGCAGGAAGAACCACAGATTAGCCCTTGGGGTGTACTCTCTCTCTCTAGCTGGGGATTGTTGGGTGCTGATTCTGGGGCCTGTGACTCTCACGGGTGCTGCATTAACCTTCCTTATCTCCTCCTTCATCTCCTCTTTAAACTCCTTAATCACAGCTGAGATATGAGCCTGCATTGGGCCATTAATCATACTCTCATAATTCCTAAGTTTGTTGGCAACAGAGCCCACTGTCTCTCGGTGAGCGTCAGCATTGATTGTTGCAATGAAAGTGGTGTATTGAGATGGCCCAAGATTTGCTAGACTCCACAGCATTTGTCCTGTACACCTGACCTTGTCGGGGTCATTATTGTGTCGTCCATCCCTCCCAAAGAGTACCTCCAATACTGCCACTTCCCTCAGCTGTTGGATCCCTTCCTCAAGGGTCTTCCAGCGCATTCTATGATGGTGCTCCTGCATTCTCTCCCTGTGGACAAACCTCTCCCTGACACTCATTAAGAGCCGCTCTCAGAGAGAAAGGGACCCTGGTTCCCTTACAAGAATCTAATTTATACCCGAGTCCTGGGTCAAGGGTTCCAAGTTCCTTGCCTCACCACCGTCCAGCTGCACGCCTGTACCCATAAGATCCCAAACCCGGAGTAGCCAGGTAGTATAAGCCTCACGCCCTCGTCGCACAATGTCTTTATGCAGATTACTAAGACTTTCGTACGTCAGGGACTCGGTGATGATAGCAATCTCTGGCTCCCCTGTGGGTTGTGAGGTTCCTCCATTCCTGTCCCTATCTGCAGGGTGCTCTGCTTTCATCTTAGATTTCCTTGTTTCTACCGGGGCAAGTGCTGCTGGCTGTGACTGCCTTTGTGGTTCAGCTGGAACCTGGACAGTTGTAACATTTGTGGGTTCTACAGCTGTACTATTAGACTGTCCCTCTTCAAGGCAAAGGGCGGGTTTCTCACCAGCTGGGGAAATGCACTCCTTCAGCATCTCTTGTATCTCCTTAACCAGAACCCTCACCCAATCTGGGTGGTTCATTTCTGAGGTGGGCTGTGGGGCAGGGTCAGGCTCTGGAGCAGCAGCATCTCGAGTCTCTGGGGCAGTGTCAGGTTCTGCAGGAGCATACCTAGCCTCTGGTGTAGGTGTGAGGGTAGTTATCCAGGTTAATCTTCCCTTATCTCTGAGTGCTAAATATAACAGGCCTATCAGCAACACCACCCATTGTATGATATCATTAGCACTCAGAGACGATCTTAACCCTTTGAGAACTGGTGGAGCAGACCCAAAAAGATGGTTAAAAGCTTGGGAGAAAGTTTCCCCAGGTGCTATTTCCTCGCAGTAGGTACCGTTATTAAAGTAACCCCAAAAACATACAGTTAGTGTGTGATAGCTATGAATCTATGTACCTGCCTTCCAGAGGAAATTAAAGATCCATGAATTCCTCACCCAATTAACCCAGAATCCAAACTTGATAACAGACACAGTAGCCTTAGTTATAGGACCCATTTTTAGATAAGGGTCTGCAAATGGGAAAAGTATAGCTACGGTCACATGCCACCCAAACCAAGGTAAACTAGACCACATGGTGATGCTTAAAGATGTTTCTACACACAACAAAAAAACCAAATTACTTAAGAACTGTTAATCCTTTTTCCCTCTCAATGCCCTCGAGCCTCACATTGGGTGCCAAAATCTGTCTTGTTTTGACAAGACAGGAGTCTGTGAAGGAGGGCAAAAGCCTCCTGTGCAATGGAGAAGGTAAACCCCCTCCCTCTGAATTACCAGGATTTTTAAAGTAAAAGGCTCTCAGGCAAAGTTATGGGAATGGGAGTAACAATTCTTTACTAGGAGAAACTAAATAACAATTTAAAAAGGCAAATGCAATTGGTACAAACAGAACTAGTGATAATGTCCACAACCTGACACCCTGAGGAGTCGGGGTGTTGGTAGCAGTCCAGTTGAAATGACAGCTGCTCCTCTTGCAGTGGCTGATGAATTGCAGCTGAAGTGGTGATCTTTAGAAGGGTATAGTTTTCTCTGAAGATCTGGTGGCAGTTGGGCTAGTCTTCCTCTGGGAATCCAGCGAAGGGGCCACTTCTCTGGGAATCCCACCGAAGGAGCCGCTTCTCTGGGAGTCCTGCCGAAGGAGCCGCTTCTCTGGGAGTCCTGCCGAAGGAGCCGCTTCTCTGGGAATCCCGTAAAGAGAGAGAGCTGCTCTGTCTCCCAAAAGGTACCACTTTATACCATAAAAGAGTGCTTGGCTTCCCCCTCTGGGTGGAGCATCTCACAATGGGATGGTGTAACGTTACCAGGCCTGCAGTGAGTCAGTCAATGGCCCATTAACAAACCATTACCTCTTCGGAGCAAACCATCGTTCTTGGAAGAGATAATAAACCTGCCCAACCTCCAACAGATGGCAAATAGAATACAAGCTTATCTTACAAACCAGGACACCACCCACCACTCCTACATGTCTATTCATTTTACAGAATTAAAAAATAGAAATCTCTTGAAATTACTTGATTAAACAGTTCTTATTTGAGTGGAAAAGGGGAACAAGGTATAAATAAGGAAGGGTCACATCTGTTCCAAGAGCAATTCCAGGACAGTTTTATTCAGAATCACCTTTAATGACACTTCCATCTCTGATTAGAAGCAGTGGCCACTTTCCATATGCAAAATAGCCAGACTTTTATCTAAGGGTGCACAGACTGATATGCCTACTCTCATAGCTGGCTTTAACTTTGATTAGCGATTAGCCAGGATCCTGTCAACTCATTCAAACCTACTTTATTTTAACAGCCTTACCTGTAGAAGCCTTGGTTATCATATGCCATGTTAGTCACATCACCAAATACAGATGTATTCCTGAGTTTCTTATTGTTGTTATTGTTTCTTCCCTTAAAACCAAAGTAAGCAGCTTGCATGTGCTCTAATTCTTCAGTCCTCAGCTGGCACCACAGATGCATTTCTCTGTGAATATACCAAGCAGTTGAAACATATTGTGATATATGGCTGTACAGCTGAGCTGTTACCTGACCACAGACCTGACTCTCTAGAGCTTAAATCTCATTCTAGGTTTACTGAAGAATACACTTAAAGACATGATGAAATTCATGTGCAAGCCAAACTTGTAGAGATTTAAATAACACCCTAAGACAGGGAGTTCTTCAATAGCATAAATATTATCTTGTAAAATAGTGATACTGTAAGTACTGTCCAGCACTCCTCAAAAAATAAGCAAACAAACAAGAAAATGAGAACAATTTTTTTATGAGAGCCAGTGGATAGTTCAAAGTAACAAACCTCCAAGAATTATGTCCATTTGATTCAGTGTTTTTCCAGTCTACAGGTCATAAGAAAAGTCATATAAGGTGGGATGATGTGTCAGTGCTCTAAAGGACCTTAAACAGTGACATCAGGCCACAACCTGTTGTGTGTGAGAAGACTTCAGATCATCTCCATTTAATGGGATAAATTAGTTCAGGGAAAAAAAAATATTTTCTATGACTTTTTGCATCACTGCTATTCTTAATGTTTCCAAAATCACCAGGCAGGTTGAAAAGATATTGACTTAAAAATGGAGGAGACAGGTAGCGTTGCCTTTGTTAAGCATAGGGCACATTGCCTCACTGTAAGAATTCTCTTTTGGAAATGTTCAGAGCTGTTTACATGCTGCTCTCTGCAACTCTGAGGCAAGAAGAAAATATCCACAATTTCTTTTCTTGTTTTTAAAAGAAGTCTAAGACTTGCAGAATCACAGACACTCTCACTGGCTGGTGGGAGAAGATCATATTGTGAGAACTAGTGACACTGATTTTGGTTCTATTTCTGTCTTCTTGGGACGCAATCCTGCTCTTTCCAGAGAAAAAAGTAGCCATGCTTCCTTAGTAGGACAAGATCTATGAGGAAGCTGAATGGTGGGAGGACTTTCAGCAGCCTTCATCCCCCTTCTCTCCAAAACACATGTGGATGTGGCAGTTTAGTTGTGAACATGGTGTTAGTGCTGTGTTGACAGTTCAACTTAAGAGTCTTTTCCAATCCTAATGATTCTATGATTCTATTAAACATAAGATGGCACTTCAAAGATCATTATACACCATGCAAGGCAGGTTTGTAGGCAGAGGTGATCTCTCAGGTAACCAACTAAGAGCAAAAAGAAGCAGACATGCAGACCTCAGAGCTACAGTCAAGGTGAGGACATCCCCTCTGCTCCATAGGTACAGATTACCTCATCTTTCAGATCTGGTCTAAGAGACACTTTATTATTTTCTCCCCAAGAGTTCTCACTTTGTATTAACTTATCAAGCCTGCAGCTTTTTGTCAGATGAATGCTTTGTGCATTTAGAAGTCAATGCACTTTTCCACCTCCATTACCAACACAAATGCTGCCACTGCACCTGACAAGTTTTGCACAGGGTTATGTTACGTTTTCTCCCATGACATGGACAGTTTGTAAATGACTTCAATTCTTTCTGCCAGAAGGGAAAAGATACGCAATGCCTGCAGTGCCCCCAGGTTTCTCCTTGGAGCTGGGCTCTGTTGCCAATGGGATGGAGCAGCTCCTTCAGGAGACAGGGAAAGGTGCACAGGGGAGCAGGGAACTGAGAAGGTCTCAGCAAAAGAAATAATTTTACAGCCTGATGACAGAATCAGGTCATTATGTCCAGTGTGAAGGGCTTTTCTTTTGTAAGAGGAAAAATATAAAGTCATTACAATAATGAAAATGGCTCGTTTTTACAAAGCTTCATTTAAAATAAATGAAAAACAAGGACTGTGATATGAATAGTCTGATCAAAAAGAAAAGTGGCAATTCCAAAAATAACAATTAACCTTTCATTTCAAAGCAACTTATTTCATGCTACCAGTAAAAACCTGAATGTTATGACTGACACCAATGACTTTCATTTTTTGACACAAAATAATCTTTCAATAGAAACAGAAAATCTCTATTTTGGCTACAGTTGGATTTCAAATGACAGAAGTTCCCCCTTCAGCTGGTTCCCACACAGCTTCAGACAAACCACAACTCGGCACAGAAACCTTCACTGCTGTCTTCCCCAGTCTCCCTCCACGCCACTGGTAGGAATAATCATCAAGAAAAGTGAGACAGAAACCAAGTTCCTGTGGAAAGCTTTCTGCAGCAGTGACTGTAGGTCACTCAGTGCTCTCATGAGCAACAGTAGCTTGGCTCCAGCCTAGAGGCAAATGTGCTCCTGCTGACACTATCCACACTGAGTTTTATATTGAACTGGATTGAAAATTTGGCATTTTCATATTCCTGTTTATAATCCACCAATTTGTGCTCCAAGCCAGGAGACAAAATCCTCTGTCCTTCCAGCCCCATGAGGTTTTGAGGATGCTCTGCAGATGGTGAGGCCTTGGATGGCTCTGACACAGGGAGATTCCACTTCCCAGCAGTGTTCAAAGAAAGAAAGGAAAAAAGGAAATAAATAGAGAAGAAGGGGAAACACTGCCAATCTTCAATAATTTGAGGAGAGAAATGCTATGCCAGAAAATAAGACTTGTGTGTTCTGCATAATCCTGGGTAAATCCAGATCTGCCTAGGCATGTTGAGGTTATCTGATACTAACAGGCATCAGGTATTTAAATACTCTGGAATTCCAAGCCCTTCAACACCTAAAGCTTGACCTACAAATTAAGGATTTTAAGTAATTAACATCATTCCAGTGCTGCAAGTGGCAAATCCTTTGAAGCACTTGTTATCACAGCAATGGAGTCCATATCATGTACACTCAACACTGTTATTAAAACTGTCTTCTTGACATACCTTTGAGTTCTCCTCCTCTCACTTTTCTTTGCACACTTGATCAGACAGCAAGTTAAGAAAGCCATGGACATCAGCAAAATGACAGCACAGCTCACAATGGAGGCAATCACTGCGACCTTAAAGCCAAAAGTCTCATACTTTGATACGGCTGCAGCAAAGCAAACACAAAAACGTTTCTAAGATCAGAGCATAAATTTATCTTTCACATTTTCATTAAACCATGCTGAAACCTACCTGCTTCACACTTCTGCTCAGTGAGGACCTTCATCTTACAATGCGTCAAAATATCAGAGAATTTTGGCTTCAGCTTTGACCTGTGCAAGCCTCAAACTGGACTATGTAAATATCTCCTGTTTATAAGTTACTAATGAATTGTTCGCAAGCATTTCACACTGCAATTAATTAAACACAGTACCCTTAGCACTGCAGTAGCTTAAAAGCACAAGTCTGTTGGCAGATCAAATGCAGATGAGCTGCAGACTCTATTAACAAGGACCAAAGCTACAGAAATGGATACTAACATGGGTAAATGGCCTTAAAGAAGCCATTTAGAGCAAAGACAGTTCCATGTAATTACATCCTCTTTGGCAGGCAGCAAACCAACAGGTCTTCCTCTGTTTGGGGAAGGATGCAAGATGGAAGAAGTGACATGCAGGGCTGAGTGTTCACAGAGATCTGATGCTGAAGTGAGTTATCCAGACAAAAGGAGGAACAGGAATGTGATGTGGCACAGCTAACGCAGATCTCTGCCAACTCACTTGGAATAGTAAGCATGTCGTGCTTCAAAACTCAGCTAATTCTCCAATATCACAATGACCAGCATCACAAATGGTTCAGCTGAGCTCCATACAAAGCATTATATTTCTGCATCCTCTGGGGGAAGGATTTCTGTAATTTTTTCTTTTATGGGATCTCTAAACGAGATAAGAATAGCTGAGTGTGGGAGAGTGCACTAAGTGTCTGTAAGAGAAATATATCCACTGGGAATTTGAAATGACACGAGGTCTGAGGCACCTCAAAGCTCAGAGGTACCAAGTTTTGCTTGGGTCTACGTCTGCTCAGACTTATAATAAACAAGCAGAAACACAGCTAAAAGGTAGTTATCTCTGTTGTCATTCAGACACTATTTCTCTATATGGTAAATTTCCCATGTGGCTGCAACAACCAAAAATTGTTAGAAAAATATCACTATGCTTCTTTTATGGCAAAAACATTGTCAGAAAAGACTGCCAGGAGATAAGAGGCTCACAAATATGCTTGCACATCAGTTGGTCATTCCCATAGTGTTGGGGTGATTTATGATGATGGTCTGCTTTATGCCCTAAAATAATTGCTGTATCTTTAAGGTGAGTCTGGGGGAAGGGGGAGCCTTGGGGCCCTTTGCTGGGCTTTTTCAAAGCCTCAATGTCCTGGTGTCCGAGGGGTGTGGTGGTGCAGTCTGGGTTTTTCTTGGCCAGTTTGGGGTTTTTTTGTTAACCAAGGCGGAAATTTGTTTTGATTTTTTTTTTTCCTGGGCTTGGAGAGGCTGCAGCAGCAATCCTTCAGCTGCTTTTCGTGTTGAATTGGACACTTCGGTTTTGGTCCAAGATCTGAGAGAACAAGTGCCACAGGAGAGGAATCTGCCTGGCCTGGCTGGGCAGAGGGGCTGTTCTGGAAAAAGCCTGAGCCGAGGAGGGAAAGCACACCTGCTGCACTGCTTGTGGCTCTGGACAGGGGACCAACACCAGAGATACACCGGGTTGCCTTCTGTTTGCCCGAGCTGCTGCGTGAACCTTTTGGCCTCTTCCCTTACACAGGAGCTGGTTATCACCTCTCTCCCCACCCGGCTGCCAGCCCCTGTGGGTTTTTATCTTGCTCTGGCATTTTGGGAATTTTTTCCGGGGCGGAAGGGGCAGGGAGGGGGAGGGAGGGTGGGTCTGTTAAGGTCTGACAATTCAATATCTAGCACTTATTTACTTTTTCTCCCGTGCCGTTTAAGCAGTCTGTTTGTTAATAAATGGCTGGGTTTTTTTTTCACTTTCATCCACTAATATTCATTTCTTATTGGTGGAAAGGGATTCTTGGAACCCTTTTTTTTAGAGGAAACACTCATTCCAGAGAGTTTTTCTCCTAAACTTGTCTCTAAACCGAGACACCCTCACATTCTCTAAAGAACTATACAGCTTAAAAGCTAGAGGCACAGTTCTCCCAAGTGCTACCAGTGACATGAGATCAGGGATTAATCCAACAGTCTTTTATGTGTGTCGTGATAATGGCATGTCAGAACATATATGGGGTAGAATTACCATCAGTGGGGCAACTTTGAAGAAAACTGAATTTGTCTTTTTCTTTGCACAGGTATCTAGAATGAATCCTAACATTGCAGGACAGGCAGAGCAAAACGAACGCACCACACCCCAGGAGGAGGGGCACGGTTTGGGAAGAACCTTACGTGCGCAGGAGGGCACTGCGGCTGTCCACTGCGTGCTGTTCCCTTTCCAAACGCAGGTGACGACGGCCGGTCCCTGCAGCCGGTGCTCAGCGGAGCACCGGAACGCGACCACTGTTCCCACACCGGTGCCGTTGCCGTGCAGGACCTGCAGCGAGCCGAGCTGGGGCGAGAGGAGGCGGCTGCACTGCCCTGCAGACCAAACACAGACACTGCAGCGCCGCCGCCAACAGTGAAGCCATCCACTGAAGTGCTGTTCACAGTCAACTGCAAATCAGTCACAGTTAATGGTCAAAACAAATGGCAGACCTCGGGGCGGCCGACGCTGCCTGCTCTGCCAAGCATCGCCCCGCGGTAACGCTACCCTCCCTTAGTGCCCATTCAACAGCTCCTCTGCCCTCACCCCCAGCACAAAGCAACTGATGTTGTGGTATTATCTGCTCAGACTGGTACACGTTGAACACTTAAACACTAAAAACACTAAAAAAAGGTAATTTCTGAGAGGCACGGTCCCCTGTGGATCCCTGTGTTGTTGGATTCTGATTAATTTAGTACTCAGGCTAGCTGGGAGTATTCATTACGTGTCTTCCCCCACACAAATTTCCAAGATCTGCTGGACTGATCGTGCAGTTTAGCCTACTTGGCAGCATCTTGGCATAATCTGACCGAAACTTCTTATCTTTACAAGCACTACTTGTGTGTTTGGCTTGGCTGAAAGGGGCTGGCGGCATCAAAACCACAGGAAAGAGCACAGAAAGACATACACATGTAACATCTCCCTTTTCAAGTGACAATCTGCTTTACAGTGAATCATTAATTTTATATACATTTTTGTTCATTCTGCTTTTTTATTACTTTGTTGTTTATACAGCTGTTCTTTGAGCTGTGGAGCGGTTCTTGCCTTGGCCACCTAATGTCAGCCATTAACTTCATACACGAAGTTTTATTGTCATAACAAGTAATTTTAACACAGTAATTTTAAACAAAACTTTCAATGAGAGGTGATTAAAACAACATAAAACATCTCGATAACTTCAAAGGTAACAAATACTTTTTCTGGGACTATACATGTGCTTTGACAGAATGTAGAAACTCAGGTATTTTTAACATTTACAGAATACCAGCAGTGCTTCTGAATCAGAGCCCAAGTTCCCTATTTTTCACTGGATTTCCAAATGACTTAAGAAAACTCAGAGGCATAGTGCTGCAAATCCTATGATGAAACACACAAAAATATTAAAAGAGGGGAAATATATTTTCCAAATCTACAGGCAAAAAGAAATTACAGCCTCCCTGAGAACATCCTGACAGAACCACATGTTAGCAAATCTATTTTATTTTGAATGCTAAAACTCCCCTCATGTCATTATTGTTGTTAAGCCCCTAGATCATACCACAGCAGGGAGGAGTCCGACCTATCTATCTCCAGTTCATGCTCTTAAACTCCCTGTCCCTGGAAAACAAACCCAAAGGAATCTCAGCAAAAGACCAAACAGAAGTCCCAGTGACAATTACTAGGCTTAATCTACTGAGTAAATATGCATCAAGCACTAGCTTTTAAAACCATAGCTCTTTAATTCCATGCTGATTATTTCTGGTTGTTTTGCCACTTCTTTCAGCCACTTACTATGGCAGAAATTGGCCTCAATGAGAGCAAATATTTTCTGTAGTACTGGTTTCTCTTCCTCTCCTCCCATGCACATCCCATTGCTGGAACATACAGGATGTACTGGACAATTTCCCTCCTCACTCCAAATGAGTGTTACGAGTTTGGGCTTTTCTTTTTATTTTAATTACTCAGTGGTTTACCATGAGAAAATATTGTCCTAATCTGTAAAATAAAGATTTTACATATAGTTGTTTGGGTTGGGGTTTTTTATTTTTTTTTCATTTTACAATTTCAAGGCTATTTTTAGAGATTCGGACCACATTCTTAGAGTTCACATTGGTGACTCTTGTAGCTGCACAAGTAATTAGAACTGAATTGGACTTGATGCACACCTGCTGGGCCACAACATGCAGCCTCAGTAGAGGCATTCAGTACACCTGTCAGTTTACCTGACTCATTGTTCACACTTTGTTCTCCAAAGAACAAATAATTTGGCAGTGGATCCGTTCTTTGAAGACATATTTAATTTAATCCAGTATTGACCATTCTGAGTAACATGTGAAACTCTTGAACCTTCCCTGCCCTGTCCTTGCCCAAGATGGTGTCTGCCAAGACATTAAACCTCTGAATGGCAGCGACCTTGTCAGCACCATTTCTCAGCTGTGGGCTTTAAATTGTTTTTGCTCTGCTTGAGCTCTACAGAAATGTCTACTAGTCAGCATCCCCTGAAAACGTGGGTATTTCCATGCCTTGCCCTGGGCTGCAACAGCATCATGGATCATGCCCAGAGGATCATTTCCATATGAATGTATTTGGGGCTGGAACCACAGAGGTGCCACTCAATGACAGCTACACATCCAAAACCTTCTGTACCTGAGCTGAAAGTTCATCAACGACTTCATATACCTGCACTTGTGCAGAGGAGAAATGCTGTTCTTATTTTAAGAGCTTCTCAATACCATTTCTTCCCACTAAAGTCAAAAACTGAAATGTGTCACTCCTTTTTGCTTTTCACAAATGCATTTATTGAAATGCCCAGATGGAGTTTTGTCAGAATGATCTTTTGAAATTTCAACCAAGCTGAGATTTAGCTTCTCTGCATAAAATTTGCCCTAATTGTAATCATCAATTGTTTTCCAAAATTGCTTTTGGAAAACTTTCCTGCAAGCTCTAGTGTCCACTATTAGCTACCTTCAATGTTTTTGTAGTGAGCTATGGCATTCACTTTTCTGCTGGGTTAATTTTACCCTTACATCTCCAAAGAAACATGTTTAATTAAGCTTCTATCCCTATACTTACATAAGCAGATGTTCCATATAGACTTCTTTTTTGAATACTCTTCAGGCATGTTTATCAGACTAAATCTACTACAATCAATAATTTTATTATTGTTTTTATTAATAGAATTAATTTTATTTCTGTTTTCAACTGAGACTGGTGTCTGAGGCTGCACTGCTGCCTGGTAAAACACAAAAATTTGTACTGACCCAATTTACATTTAGATTTGTATTTCTTTTATAAATATCTATAAAATGTCATGTTCAGGTCTTGTCTCCATAACTGGCACCCAGAAATGTAAAAACTAAAAACTGTAAAACTGAATAAATCCCCTAATTAGAGAGCTGGAGGCCCTCTTCTCTGGAGACAGGGTTGAAGCACTGGCATTGTTCAGCGTGGAGAAGAGAAAGCTCAGGGAAGACCTCAGAGCCCCTTCCAGTGGCTAAAGGGCCTACAAGAGAGCTGGAGAGGGATTTTGGAAAAGGGCCTGCAGGGACAGGACAAGGAGGAATGGCTGAAACAGGGTAGATTTAGATGGAATATTTTAAAGAAATTTCTGGCTATGAGGGTGGCAGGCCCTGGCACAGGTGCCCAGAGCAGCTGTGGCTGCCCCTGGATCCCTGGCAGTGTCTGGGACAGTGGGAGGTGTCCCTGCCCATAGCAGGGGTGGGATGGGATGGGCTTTGAGGTTTCTTCCAACCCAAAACCTCCAGTTCTATGATTCCTGTTTCTGCAACTATTTCTGCAGCTTTTTGTGGAGCAGGAGCTGATTTATACAAACACAATTCTCAGCCTGGCCTCATGCTGAGAGGATATCGAGTGTTCAGGAAATCTCTGAATCTGATTCTGCTGTCTGGAAGTGCAGAATGGCACTGGCTACAATGCTACAATAAACAGGTTATTGCATATGACAAATAACTGTCCTCAAAGTAAAGACAGACACTAAAGCACAATGTCTTTCATAAAATCTTAATCACCCAACCTCTAGGTTCAGAAATAAACACATACATAATTTCCAGGCAGTGAAAAATAGAGAGTAATGCAAAAATTAAAATAATCCAAAATATCTCTTTTCATGTACAGCCAGGATTATCTGTATTGCAAAATTGATTTGTCAAAAAGAGGAAACAAATGGATTCACTGTCAGCAAGCTGTGGGTTTATGTTTTGCTGATAAGAAAAAAGAAATGAGAGAGCAACCTAGGCATGCCTGCCTGGTAGACATTTCCTGTGCTCCTTCTACAGCAAAACAGTGAGTAAAAGCAAATACATTGCATAAGTATCTACCAAAATGATCTAAACTACAATCTATGTCTTCACCTCATTATTCCCAGACACACAAAGGTCACCCTTTTGCATTGCTTACTGTTGCCAATTTAATATCACTAAAACATGCTGGAATAACTAGATGCCAGAAAGAAAGATAACACCAGGCTCTATCAACCCTGTAGAAAATAAACACACCAATATTATTGCTGCAAGTCTCTTTTCCTACAGAAGCACACCTCAGAAACTGGTGTCCCTGAAATCACAGGCATTTAAGCATCCACAGCAGTCTCACAGAAGAGCTCTGGGAAGAGGTCACTGTGTTAAAAAGCAAAAGAAAAGCAGCTAGAAGTGAAATATGAAATAAAGCAGACATAGCAAAGTACAGAGTGAAAGTGTCTGGCCCTGGCATTGGTCTCCTTGTCACCATGCCTTTGCTTCCTTGCAGAGGTGGCCTCAAGTCCTGCTGGGGCTGATCTTTTAAACCAACAAATGTCCACAAGGATATGATCCTCCCAGGAGAAAATCCAGATGCTGGCATGGCTTTTAAAGAAGTTAGTGTAAACATGTTACCAGAGCTACAGTAAAAGAGCAGGGCGAGACACAGGCTATAGAAGCTGCAGAAATTAACCGAGGTCCCCGGCTGCTGTGCTGCAGTCCCTGGGAAGCTGCTGTGGAGATGTGGGAAAGCTCTGACAGATTTGCCTTCCAACACACAGATTCAGCTTTATGAAATGATTATTTGTGGGGAGCTTTGGTGGTTCAGGTGTGGCACAAACCACATGCACGAAAACACAGCCCTCTGCACACCCATTAACTGCAAGGAGCACTTCAGAGGCAGGGCCAGGCTTGGCCACCACTGCTCCAGGAGCTTCACACCCTAAATTCTGATGGAGACCAGCAAGAACTGAACAGCAGGCACAGGACTGTTCCTCTGGGTCAGTCGCATAAAGGAACATTTGGACAACTGCGCAGGGTAAAACTTGCAGGTACCTAAGGAACACATCTGTCACAGCACATTACCTGACAAAAGAAATGCAGCTTATTAATATATGGTTCTGGCACCTGCCTCACATCAGCACTTCTGAATGAAAATATTCCCCATAAAACATTTC